CACAGGAGAACATGTATTGAAGGGCAGGGCAATGACTCAGTTGATAAAGCACTTGCTGTACAAGCAGAAGGACATGAGTTGGGTTACCAGAAGCTTGCTGGTCAGCTAGTCAAGCCAAATGTATAAATTCTAGGTTTAGTGAGGCCCTGTCCCCAAAAATAAAATGAGAAATGACTGAAGAAGATACCTGACATTGTCATCTTGTCTCAACATCTGAGTACACACATGTGAACATGCACCCATATGCACATGTGCATGAGTGTGTGCGTGCGCAAACACACACACACACACACACACACATGAATATATATTGAAATAGATGAATAAATATAAATAAGAAAAACAAAAACCAGAATAAAAGGAAGGAGGGAGGGCAGACTGTAGTCAGGATGAAAGAGAAAAAAGAATATATATGGTATGATTTCACTCATGTGAAAGGCCTCCAAAAGGCAGACTCAATAGAAAGTAGATTCATTGCTACCTAGGAACAGATATGAGGTTTCTTGTTGGGGATGACAGAGGTGTCCTAACACTAGATGGCAGCTAGCAGGCTGTCCTCTGCCTTGATTTTATCAGTATATACAGAGCAACCTTACTGTCTGTTCAAGGAGTTAATTACCAGAGGCTGGGCACTCTGAACTCGTTAGGATAACAATCACTATCTGTACTATACAATCACAAGGCACAAAATGATAGATAACTTATTTATGCTAATAAATCATTGCCATTTATGAACTTAACAAATTAAATCTGGGCACAGTGACACACTGTACTATATCAAAGACACCAGGCAAGTGGGTTTATAAAAAACACTATCTCAATGAATGATTCAAACCTTCACCTGAAACACATGACAAGAGGGACATCTCTGGTATACACATGGTCTGGGTACCATGCCCGGCTTAGGTGTATTTCTGCTTAATTTTATAGTTCTTTAATTTCTTGCTAAATTTTTTATTTTGGTTTATATAGTCTAAAAGAATATACACAACTCACAACTGTAAATGAAGGCATCGTGGCCTCTGCCTTGGAAATCACAAAGTGATGAGCCTTTCTCTGTCTCTATGCTTTTAGTTGAGAGAGAGAGAAAAAGAGAGAGAGGGAAGGAGGGAGAGAGGACTGATAAATTGCTAGTATGTGCTGTCAGTAATGCCATCTGTCCTTAAGAAAGCAACTGGAGAAAATGGGGGTGAAACTGGAAAAAAAAAGAGACTTTATACTTTTTTATAATATTTGAATTTTATTTATTTACTTTTATATTTTTTGTTTTTTCGAGACAGGGTTTCTCTGTGTAGCTTTGGAGCCTCTCCTGGCACTCACTCTGGAGACCAGGTTGGCCTCAAACTTGAATTTTATTTTTAAAAATTATTTTTACATTTATTTATTTGGTTGGTATGTGTACATGTGTGTAAGGGTGCCTGTATGGAGGTCAAAGGACAACTTGCAGGAGCTAGCTCTGTCTTTTTATTATGTAGGTGCCAGCAATTGGACTTAGGTCATCAGGCTTGGTGGCAACTAACTTTACAATTGAGCTACCTCACCACCTCCTCTATGTGAATGTTCTAAACATGCATGTATACTAGACTTATTTAAGAAAATTCCAATGGCTTGGTGGCATTGTGGACCAGCCTAATTTTTTTAAAACCATTGTTGTATTAGCAACACTATCAAGTTTCTTGAGGTCACGGTAATATATTATCAATAGTGCAGCTCATACACTCTCTGGTACAGTAATTTTATATGTTGAGACGCTCAAAAACGTTTTTTAGGAGTAAATTTTAAAAGAATGATTACTTTATTTCTATTTTATGTGCATTGGTGTTTTATCTGCATATATGTTTGCGTGAGGGTGTCAGATCCCCTAGAAATGAAGTTACAGACAGTTGTGAGCTGCCAGGTGGGTGCTGGGTATTGAACTCAGGTCCTTTGGAAGAGCAGCCAGTGCTCTTAAGCACTGAGCCATCTCTCTAGCCCCCCAATAAGGATTTACTACATCAAGTAAAAAAAAAGGAGCTTATTCAAATATTTTAAAATAGGAAGTAACCAACTACTTTTTGATTGAAATTACTATTCCACAAGATGAAATCTGTAACTAGCAACATTATAGGACTAAGAACCCGTGGCTAGACAAGTCATAGACCCTAGGGAAGAACCTATTATTCTACTAATTGGACACAGTATTAAAGACTCCTAGTGACTTATTATTGTATTCATAAATCAATGCATCTGTCAACCCTCATCTGAGAAGCTCCTCCTTGTAGTCGACAGTAATATAGACACCCACTAGTCAGGGTACAGAGAATACCTATATATGGCACTACCCCCAAGGCTCAGAAATCATTGTGGAAGAGGGGGCAGAAAGCATGTGAGTCAGATGCAATGGATGACTACAAAGAAAGAAGTGCCTCTTAGACACAGCAGGGCAGTTGAAATCATAGCAGTTATAACAGCAAGCATAAGACCTGTGCAAGGCCAAGCCAGTCCAAATCCCAGCTTGGAGATGAGAGTTGGGCATGAAATCTAGCCATACTCATAGAGTTATTGACAATTTCTAGCTGCTGGGAGAGGGAGAAACAGTTTCTCTTAAGAATGCAGCTCATGGTAAGTAGACCTTGCTACAGTGGAAGAAGATCACACATCCAAGGACATCTGGGCAGTATAAATTGGCTTTGTTTTTTAGAAGGTCACAAAGTAGGGTGGGTCCAGAAAGAACAGAGGGATGAATATGAACATACTTGCTGTATAAAATTCTGCAAGAACTTATAAAAATTAAATTTAAAAAATATAAATCAGCTGAAGTCTATTCCCTAAGGTAGTTGTGAGCAAATCCCAAGAGTTTATACTGGCTGGGAAATATGATGGCTCACTTAAATTTGTGGCCAGGCTAAGGCAATTTATATCTGCTTCCTAAATTAAGAAATCTGTTATGCACTAGAAATAATTCCCAAAAGATGCATATTGAGAAAATATCCAACAATCTGTGTGATTCACCTTCCCTGACCACTGTGCATTCTTCCTTCCAAATCTGTATCTCTTTGCCCTGCTTTGTGACCCTGGAAATGGGTCTTATAAACATTTTTCATTTGCAAATGGGAACGTTAAGGGTCATTAATAAAGATGCTAAGGGGCACTGCAGTAGGAAGTGGCTTCTCTTTCTGCTTCTGGATGTGAAATATTCCTTTACACTGTGTGACTGTTTTAATAAAGATGCTGACTGGTCAATAGCTGGATAGGATAAGTTTGGGGGAGGGCCAAACAGAATGCTGGAAAGAAGGGTGGGGTCAGAGGAGACACAGAGAGAAGCAAGATGGGCATGTAGTACTGAGAAAAGGTACCAAGCCACATGGCAAAGCATAGATAAGAAATATGGGTTATCTTAAATGTAAGAGTTAGCTAGTAACAAGCTTTAGCCATTGGCCAAGCATTTATAAATAATATTAAATCTCTGTATGATTATTTGAGAGCAACTTTTAGGATAGAAACTTCTGTCTACATCTGGAGACTGTTTTCTTTTTTGCTCCCGAATGTGGGATATCTAGAAGAGCTCACTCTTCATGAAGTTTCAGTAGTGAAGCTTCACTGGTATCTTAGAAGTTGAGTGGCATTCTAGGAGACAGAAATCCAAGCAAATCTTGCCAGCACTGCAGCAGGTAGTTTCCAGTTGCCTACTTGCTGGTTGTATCCTATGCAGAAGTGGCCACAGCAAAACCTCCCTAACATGACTATTTCAGGGCAGCACTCTTCCAAGTCTACTTCTTTCTTGGGCATTCAGACTTAGCTCTATGGGTAGTAGCTGCTTCTTGTACTCCATTCCTGCATACTTTAGAATTCTCTTTATTTTAGTAGTTAATTATTAATAGTCCCTTGCATTTAAACTTCCTTGAGCTAGGTGTGATGCCTTTAATCTCAGCACTTAGTAGGCAGAAGTAGGCAGATCTTATGAGTTTGAGGCCAGCCTAATCTCCATAGCTAGTTCCAGGTCAGACAAAGTTACATAGACCTTGCCTCAACTACTCCCTAAAACCAAAACCAAACAATTTTCTCTGTTCAAATGATTGGTAAGCTTTTGGTTCCTACTGGAACTTTGATAACTGACCCTAAAGCCAAAGCAAATTCATAAATGTAAGTTTTTATTACTAAGTTTGACAATGCAGAGAAAACAGCATTATCTGAACTTGTTAGCTTGCAGTCTCCTGAAACTGTGCAGATGGCTCAATAGTAAGTCAGATGTAGCCACTGTTTAGTTCCAGTTGCTTATTTTAGAAAGATGAACTAAATGTATATTCATCATGTGGGGAGAGAGACAGAGAGAGAGAGAGAGAGAGAGAGAGAGAGAGAGAGAGAGAGAGAGAGAGATTGATTGCTAATTTGTTTTAGTTTCTAAGAGTTAAGGCTGGAAAGATGGCTCAGTGGGTAAAGATGCTTGCCCCCAAGCCTTATGACCTGAGTCCAACCCTCAGAACTGACATGGTGGGAGGACAGAGGATCAGCCTTTGCAAACTGTCCTCTGCACACTTGCTCACTTACCTACCCGGAAACATACACAAGCATGCAAAGTAAGTTAGAGCTAATATTTTATGTGATGGCATGAACAATAGAGCTATAATAAAGTGCAGAATTAAAAAAAATCACTTTGGACAGTCCAAAATATTGACAGCAAATTCTATGTTGTCTCCATGGATATCATTCATTCACTAAGTATATACTAATAATGGCCTGGCCTCATGTGGTTTACTTTTTGTGGCAGGGTGAACCTACCCATAAATCAATCTGAAATAGAGTTTCAGTTGTTGTAAGGAAAGTGAAGCTGACTGGAATGATGATGACTTATTTGATATTACATTTCCTGTACATGACATATGACAAATGATATCATTAATATAATTACAGGTATGTCCTTAGCATAATAAAAGGACAGATTCACATAATGCCATGACAAATCAAACAAAATACACATATGTAAATCATAACAAGTTTATGTATAGACCAAACAAACTTACCCTATAGAAAGCACTGGTAAGAGGAAGTAGTGCTGCAGCAATGTTATATTCTTCTAAACTTGAGCAATCCTTAAAGAAAACAAAGTCAAATGAACATTATTAGAATCTTTGTCACAATCACTTGGTATGTATGTATGTCATACCAGGTTTGGGCTACATTGTCACTGTCCTGTGAAATTTTTTTCATTTTATTCAAAGTTGTTACTAAAGCATGGTTGGGTAAGTCCAGGGGAAAATAATTGTTCCTGAAGCACATTCATTTAGAAACAAAGCATAAATACACTGGGAAGGATGTGACTTTTACGTCTTACTGAATTTGAGAGTCTGTGTTAAAAAATGTTTTAATAAATCAGAAACTTTTAGAAGGGATTTTCGATATACCCAATATATCTCTCTGGGTCAAAGATGTTTTTTTCCCATATGATTTACTATCTTTCATATTGGTGTGTACTTTACAATTGGTTACAAGTGTCATTTCTTTCTCAGTGTTATATAAAAAAGCTGAAACTCACTGCATTGTTGGGGAACAGAATAAAAAAACTCTTAATGGAAAGATAAAATGGTACAGCTGCTGAGGAAAAGTGTGGTAGTTACAAAAAAGGTAAAGCAGAACTACTTGGATTTGAAAACAGTGCATATATAAAAATGTATGTATGTATGTATGTATTGTAATTACTGTAAGTTCTAGCTTACCAACATCTTGATAGGAACCCAAAGAACCAAATACAAGAACTGGGGCTGGAGAGACTGCTCAATAATTAGACCTGAGTTTGCTTCCCAGCACCCACATGGTAGCTCACACCTGTCTGTAACTCCAAGATCTGATACCCTCACATAGACATACATTCAGGCAAAACAGCAAAGCAAATAAAATTTTTAAATTTACAAAAAAGAAAATGTTTGCCAGTTCTATTTCAGACAGGGGGTTCATATCTAGATTGTATAGTGAACTGTAAAAATCAAAACAAACACCCAAATCAACCTCTCAGTCAATAAACAGAGCAAAAGATCACAACTGTTTACAAAATAAGAAACATGGATGGTTAATAAATATGTTTTGGGGCTAGAGAGATATCTCAGTGGTGAAGAGCACTGGCTGCTCTTCCAGAGGTTCTGATTTCAATTCCCACTACACACGGAGACTGTGTAAAACTTACAACTGTGTAAAACTGTAGTCCTATGGGATCTAATGCCAGCTTCTGCAGACAAAACACACAAATAAATCTTAAAAATAAAACCCCAAACCCCTAATTGAAGGATTTTAAAAAAGTATTCAACATCCGTAGACATCAGGGAAATGCAAATTATAACTTTGAGATTTCATCTCATCCCAGTTAGAATGGTTATCATCAAGTAAATCACAAATGCTGGAAAGGCTATACTAAAAGAGGAACCATTATTCACTGTTTGTTAGAGGGTAAACTAGTATATCCACCAGGGAAATCAGTGTAGAGCTTTCTTAATACAAAACAAAAATAGAGATATCATTAATTGTGGTGATATTTTGTTTATGATCTAACAAATAAAGCTTGCCTGAAGATCAGAAAAACAAAGTGGCCAGCCACTAGCTTTTACCTCTACCTCAGACTAAAGGGGTGGCCCTGTCTTCAGATTGCATCTACAGACTCCAAGGCTCCTCAGACTCCTGTCAGATTGCCATGAGCTCTTGTCTCCTCCCCGATTATATTCCTTTCTCTGCCCAGCCTTGTCACTCCTGTCTCCATTTCCCTAGTGCTGGGATTAAAGGTGTGAGCTGTTTTTCTTTTAGACTGGTTGACTTTCCTATAACTCAGGGTGGCCTTGAAGTAACAGAGATCTGTTTGTTTCTGTCTCCCGAGTGCTGGGATTAAAGGTATGTCCCTCTACTGCCTGGCCTCTATGGCTAACTAGTGTGTCTAGCTTTACACTCTGATCTTCAGGTAAGCTTTATTTGTTAGATCATAAACAAAATATCACCGCAAATAATACCTAGCTATACGTAAGAAATATGCCCAGGCCTGTACCCAAAGTATTCCATACCTTACCACAGATACTTGTAAAACCCATGTTCATTGCTACTCTATTCTCAAGCAAAAGGAATTAGCCTAAAATGTTCACAACAGATGAACAGGTCATGAAAGCAATATATATATATATATATATGTGTGTGTGTGTGTGTGTGTGTGTGTGTGTGTGTGTGTATAAAATAGCATTTTATTTGGTCATAAAGAAAAATTGCAAGAAAATGGATGGAACTAAAAAATATTAAGTGAGGCTGTTGTAATCCAGGCAAACCTGGCCCCATCCCTTGGGAACCTGGCACAATGTGTCAACCTCTGCACTTAGCAGGCAGTACCCTGGCTCTGTGTGCAGGTGCAAAGGTCCCTTTAAGAGTCAAGCTCTGCCTATTTTCTTTCTCTTTCTTCCATTTCTCCAGGAGGCAGCTGTCTCTCTGTCTCTTTCTCTCTCTTTTCTCTCCCCACTCTCCCTTCCTCTCCCTTACTCCATTCCCTTTCCCCCAAATTATAGTCTGCAGGTCTCTGTCTCTCACCTGTTGTTTGTTGCTCACCCACCATGGGATCTGCCAAAGGTCTCTTCATGCCATATCACAATAGAGGTAGCACAAACTCAGAGAAACAAATACCACATCTTCTCTCCCATATGTGGATCCCAGGTTCTCATATACACATATATGTGTGTGTGCATGCATACACATACACACACAGAAAACACACACACATATATCATGAAATAAAAAGGAGAAGACAAGAGGGCTGGCATTTTGTTTTATGCTCTATGTGAGGATCTGTGTTGGAATCTAGATATTGGTTGTATAGATATTAAATTAGAATGGATGATTTTTGGCTTTAGATTAAAAAGAGCTTCAGCTAGAAAAGAAGTAATTATTGGAATTATTTTAGTAATGTCTCTCCTTCAGGCACACATGTGTCAGGAGACAGCAGGGGAGAAGAAGAGAAACAATCAATGAGAACAATAAAATCAGCTGAATGAAAGATGAACTTCAGTGCCTGCCTTGTACTCATAAGGCCTTGAATCTCAGCACCCCACTCCACACAAACAGGAAGATGACTCTGAGGCTAAGTTGTTATGTTGGAGTCATGTTTAGGTTTTCATTTTAAAATATAGTTAGGCCACATAGGAAAACCCTACACTCTTTTCCTACATGGTATCACTAATGGCCTCCATCATTTCCATAAATCTTATAAAATAATCCAGGAACACAGAAAAAACTGTTTATCTTTTCCCTCTTGACTATTCTTTATCCCCTTAGGACACTGCTATGTTCAAGAATGTCATCTATGTCCCAGCACATCTGAATTTCTTTAACAGAAATGCCTTGCATGTTTCTGAAGACTGTCATGAGGCCCAAGGCAATAAAGTTCAACAGACTTGAGCTGTAATCTTCTCCCAAGGAAATGGTTGGGATGCCAAGATGCCGTTTGACTTTGATTTCACAGCAGGGCTTCATTTGTAAAGATGCTGTCCAAACTTTAAATGACAACAGCTGTGATATGAAGCTCTGCATACTCATTTATAAAAATTTCCCACAAATTAAAAAATTAAAGAATGGGGCATTTTAATCTATGACCAATTAGCAGGGACTCAGAAACCATAAAACATTTAGATTAGAAAGAGCTATTTATTATTTTACAAAATGTTTACACTCGTAGTGAATGTCTAAAAACTGTGTGTGCCAGTCAAACACTTATTGCAAAATATAAATATGAAATTCTTTGCAAATCACGTTAGAGACATTAATTAGGTTAAAAGATGGAAAAAATTCTAAAACAATAAGTCTACAGCTATTAACACAGCAATTGCATTCCAGAATAGTGCAGTTATCTATTGGGGGATCAGCTCATAAATACACATTCTGGAGTCTCCTGTGCTTTGGCTACATAATAGCACTGTAGCTATAAACATACCACACAATTTATAAACTTGCAAGGACTAGAATATTGTACATGATGTATTCTCAACTTCGATATGTAATTTACCTTTAATTGGAGAATGAGCCCTGCAATCTCAATTCACAATTATCCTTAAACACTTAATACTTTTAATAAACTGCTTACCTTTGAACTGTTTTAGCCAATATTCCTGTTTCATAAACTTTGGGATCTCTCAAATTGTTACATTTAAACATTAAAAAAGAAATGAGAGTCAAAGGTACTGTTTGTTAATGGAACTAACTACAGAACTGAGAGTAGGTAGCTCTAGAAAAATGAAAAATAAAATAGTTGTGAATTGTTCAAAGTATTGAAAATATGTGCATCTTCTATAAAGGGACTAAAACCAAAAATATCTCTTTATATTACAATAGTCTACTGTTCAGAAGCCTTAGTTATGGTCTGACTATTACAGAATAATAACCAGACTGTCCTGCCAGGCTTGCAAACTTCTCTTGATAGAATCATGAGGTGATGTGGACCCATGTCAACAACAATGTGACTACCGTAGCTCCTCTGCTGTGAGCTGTAGCTCTAGGAAGTCAGCTTTATTCACATCTATTGCACGCTGTACTAATTTCTAACATAAAGAGCATCCCCAGAGAATGGATTCATTATTTGTATTGTAATTTACATGCTCTACCCTGGACCCTAACACTTCTATATATCTATCATTACAGCCCCCACCCCCAATTTAAACTGTGTACATGTGTATCACGTGCACTATGATGTGCATGTGAGGTGAGGACAACTTCAACAAGTTGGTTCTCACCTATGTTTATGTGGAATCCAAAGATAACACCCAGGTCTTCAGGCTTGAGTGGCAGGCACCTTTATTTTCTGATCCATCTCATTGGACCTTCACTATATTTAGTAATAAATAGACTTATAAAACCATAGAGGATGTATCACAATTTTAAATGCTACATATACTTATGTGTACTCTGACACTCATCGGAGACAGAAGATAAGTGCTAGGCCTGACAAATACATCAAATTTTAAGTTCTTTGAGTAAATGGGTCAAGTCTGTTTTAATTTTAATTACCTGGAAAATAGAACACTAAACCTAGCACATGGAAATAACAGCTAACATACAGTGAGTGCCACTAGGTATCACA